TTATAATACAATTACAAGAAATATTTATATATATTTCTTAATATATCATATCTCATATAAATATATTAAGACTTATATTAAATATATTTTTATATTAATATATTTTTAAAATCAATATTAAATTTTTCAATCAAAAATTAATAAACTTTTCAAAATTTCAATAATAAATAGTTTTTTTAAAATAATTTTGAAAATATGTTCTCTTATATCTAATTATCTCTTTATTATTCATCTTTCAAATTTTAGATCATTTTTGAAATTCAATGAATTAGCAGATTCAAAAAATATATATCATTATTTATTAATATGATTTCATTCAATCGATGCTATAAATCAAAGAACATCTTTGATTTTATCAATAGAATTGATAAAAATTTCCGAAAATATCTATAACTTCCAATCTACAACATACGAAATCAATCTGCAAGCAATCAAAGGATTAGAACATTATCATTATAAAATCAATAGATCAATATACTAAATGCAAAGATATTGCTCAAAAATTTTATCTGTAATCGACTCGATATTGAAACCAATTGAGACCTTGAACCTTTATAAGATTTAATTCGGATTATAGAAAAGCCAAGATCTAAATTTGATTTATGTTTAAATCTAATCTAAATATAAATTGAACTTGATATTTGTTTGCTACCGGACAAATACCAACTAGTGCGAAGACCAAGAATTGCAAGACGCTTCGCAGCTGTCATGGATGGAAACATAACTTGCTGAGGCGAGGTTGCTTGCGGTTTGGCTCCAAAGCTCACGGGTTCAAAATGTGGTGTTCAAATCACAGCACTGAACTTGCAATGCCAGTTTTGCAAGAAACGGAGATCGCACCTCTTTGAATTGCAAGGCTACAGCTGCTTACACAGCACGCTGCCTCCATCTCCACCAAACTGCGTGTAGCTTCCGTGCTTGACAATGCCCAGCATGGATGAGCCACAGAGCCATTATCATGAAAACCAAGGCGAGGCACGACGATGCGACACCACCGTGGTATCCCATGACACCAACTCTGACAACAAGGACAGATCCTGCACCCAAGGCAAGAAACATGACCACAGATTGAGCTGCGCGGCCAAGAATGGATGTCTGCTCCCTGGAACACGCGCCGCCAAGAACCATCAACAGCTGAATGCAAAGCATTGCGCCAACAAAGGCGGTCCCCAAAGCATAGCCGAACAAGAAAGACAGGATGACGTTCGTCGAGGCCTTGGCTTTTACGAGCCCCGCGAGCCCATCCAAGCCGAAGCTGCTGATCGGCATCACCACAACCAGAGCATACCTCCGACAGTGTCAATGAAGATCCTGCCTGATACCAGAAGCCCTGACTAGCTTTTGCGACCCTAAACCTCCGTATGCCCGAAACTTCAAGCCAAACCTGGAACTGTGACCTTCCGTGTGCAAACGCAGGCTGAAAGTTAGAGAGTCGCGGGTTGAGGCTGTCTCGTTCGCCCCGCATCCTGGATTTTGGGCTTGTTTTGGCTTTCAGTTTGTGAAGAGCACACTCCTTGTTCTGCGTTGCCTTTCGTTTTCAGCGATGTTGTTATTTTTCCAGAGTTGCGAAACTTCTCGACCAAGTCTTGTCGAATTTTTACAAGGCTCACTGGAAAGTTTTGCTGAATTTTGGGAATGTCTTATCAATTCGTTGTTATTCTTTTGCATTTTTGTTCGGCACCGGAATTTAAATTTAGAAGCACTCCAGCAAACCTTCATCGGAAACCAATAGGCAGGTTTGCAACTGGATCATGCAGGTTTGGGCTATGAAGACTAGCTCCAAAGCTCAAACCCCAAACCTTAAGCCCAGCGAAAGGCACCCCCATGGGAGCTTGTTGCTGGAGTGATCCAGTAAAAGTTCTTTGCGCAAAGGGCCCCTCACATAGGTCGTGAAAGCTTCCAGGCTGCCATACCACTCCATAATAGCGCCTGGGGGTGTTTCACGATTTCGAGGGCGTTTTAGTGTGGGGCTTTGGGATCGAAGATTTAGGGTGTGGAATCGGGTTTCAAATCTAAGGCTTAAGCGAATCATATTACCATAAAGATTTGGCCCAAGGCACCATGAATGAACTTCTTGTCCTCCTCAAGGGTTGTATGCAGCTTTATGCCACTCCGAAAGCAAGCAAGATATACATCTTTTTGGGGATTGCTAGAAAAGCAATCATACACCACACAAGCAAACATCCTAAACAAGTACGACAAAAAGCCTTAAACATTCGGCCTCCCCTTTTTTTTGAAGCTCCCTCCTCCCTTCCACACTGGGTTTTCGCCAAGTCGAAGCTTTCCAAGCCTTGCAGAAGCTGCAACTTCCTCGGATGTCACGACGCAGAGACGGCCCAGGAGCAAAGGCTTTAGGGTTTAGCGCTTGTTGGAAGCCGAATGTCTAAAGAAGGATCCTTGCACAACACAAGAAAGTTTCACCATCCAGTTCCCAGCTTCTTTGCCAGACTGTTCCGAAAGGCATGGTACAGCAGCAAAGCGGGAAGCGCAAGCGCGGGCAGTATGAAAGGAATCGGAAACCTCCCTGTTCCTGCTGGGGATATCTGAAGGATTCGGACCGATATCATCGCTGCCCAACTTCCTGAGATGGATGCATCGTAGGGGGCAGCCCTCAGCTGGATTGTTGTGTTTTCAATCATCCTCACAACCAAGATCTACATAGGTTGTTGGGCCACCTCGACAGGCCTCTTTCCGACATCTGAACATCGCGAACA